ACCCTAGAGATCATTTAATCCAACCTCCCTGCCATGGGCAGGGAATGCCTCTCAACTAGACTGGGTTGCTCAAGGCCTCATCCAACCGGCCTTGAACACCTCCAGGGAGGGGGCATCCACAACCTCTCTGGTTGATAAGAGAGCTTTCTTGTCCTACTTTTCCTGTTTGGTGTTTTTGTTTTGTTTTGTTTGTTTTGTTTTGTTTTGTTTTGTTTTGTTTTGTTTTTCAGAAAAAGGACATCTGTAATGGAAATGTTGTTTAAGGTGAGGGTCTGACTTGAAAAGGGATTGGCCAGGCCTCTGGTCTGTATTGGTATAGGTTGAACTATGCAGTATGAGGTATAGACAGTATGGAGGAGAGGTTAGTGATTTGTTAAGGCAAATTATGGAGGTCCTAGACCAGGAGAAAGAAACATAGACCAAGAGTGGAAGGAAGATCTAGCAGGCTTTAAAATACTTGTGTAAACAGTAGTATATTTTTTTCATATTAATATATTAACTTGAACTTGGTTCCTGTCCCCTGTTCCAACAGAGTAGCCTTTCATATTGTTCAGCTGTTGATAAGAACTAATTACAAAGGAAGTGTCACAGCAAGCAATTTCCTTTTTTTGTTTATAAGGTCTCTGCTTTTTTGCTCATTGAGTTTTCTAATTATTAATCACATGTATGGACTAATAGAATTCACTGTGTTCCAGATTTTTTAGAATGTCAGTATTCTAGTGACAAAGTTGAATATAAAAATGATGCATTATTTCAATACATTGTGTTTGCTTTCTGCCATTTAACTTCCCTTTCATACCTAATTCAAGAGTGCATTTCACTGCTTCCATGTTCACCAAATCATAACCACACGAGGTTATTCACCACTTAGGAATGAAAGTCCATCTGCTACTTATTATCTTTGCTGTGCTGCAGCGCTTCAAAATGAGTGCTAAAGAGGGACTTTAAATACTGTACCCAGTCTTTGCTCTCTTCCAGGCAAATGCAAATACCTAGGAAATGCTACCCTCTTCTGGTTGGGGGAAAAAAAAAAAAGCCTTCATCTTCCTGTATGTTAGCAGAAGTTTGATCATGTATTTTTAGGACTAGGCCCAAAATAGATAGCATAGATTGTTGTATCTTAAATTATGCCAAGTAAATACCTTGATGACACTCAATTCTAGGAAGAAAAATCTTCTTTATTTACAATATGAACAGGAGTTTTAGTTGATCTCTCTCACAGGAAAATTGTGGACGTCATTATACAAGTATGCATTTTAGTAATGTTGACTATTATTTAGATGGTTAAACCTTGTTTGTTCTCTGTCCAGTGTCTAGAATATTAAACTAAAGAAATAGCATCGTTACAATTTATCTTTAATTCCAGATTTCTCTTTATTATTATTAAAATCAAAGTTCATGTAGATGACATTCAGGAAAACCTGATCAGCAGGGAATTTCCTGCTGTCTGAATTTGTGGAGACACGTTATGCCACTGGGATGATAGCCCCAGGCTCCATTTGAGGGGAGCTTGTT